TATTTTCAGTTTTTCTTATTATTTACCCAATTGTTTTAATCCATTCCCAAAGTTTATCCCAAATCCCATACTTTGAGTTTAGTTATGAGCCAAATTTTTTTTGGAAGATGAAAAACACCACATCAAAGAATATGAAGAAGTTGGTCAGCTGTGATCTCCCCCCGCTCCCCGGTCTTAAGCCTTGTCGATGCTTAGTGTCAAGCAAATAATCCAAACTTGACAATCGATTACATTATAAACAATTCTGTTTCACACTAGTTCCTCTCTACTATATCTTTATAATCTTAACTTTTCAAGTGCTTTCCCTTTTTAATCTACTTCTGTCTATTTTAGAGTATAAAAATGGTTAAAAAGCAGTAACAAGGCTAGGCTGGATGAATTCTAATGTTGAAACACCAAATGAAATGGTTTTTTAAAAAAAAATTAACATTGCATCTTTCTTGCAATAGAACACTTTATAGGACTTCACAGTTTTGCCTCTAAATTGACTATGTGGTTTTGTATTTCCAAATCTTCACAGTACAGTGAATATTAGCATCATTATTTATAGATCAGTGACTCATAATCACTATTCAGTTTGTATTGGCAGATTGTGGAAATGGTATTGAATCTGTTGAAAAATTAACCATTGTAAGTAGCTTTGTTTGATCTGGCAAGTTCGTAGTTAAATAGACCCTCCAAAAAATCCAGCCAACTTCTCTGTTAATAAGTTACTGGCCTCAATGCTCCTGTATAGTTAAACCCAGAAAGATGTCCAGAGGTTGCAAACTTAAGTCAGTGCAGAAATTTTAAGTGTTTTGTACCAATGTTTCTTTGATCATTTACTATAGCCTATCTGTCTCTCCGTCTGAATCCATATCTGCTGAGGATAATAGCTCTATTCTGAAGTTACAGAGCCAGATGTGTAAATCTCTGCAATTGTTTGATGGTTCTCTTCAAATTATGACCAAATTTTCAGGTGCACAGGCAGCCACAATTACCAGTTGCAGTCTCAATCAGCAATTCCAGAAATCATTGCAGCCTGTCATGATGCACTTATTGTGAGCAAATAGTCATCACACATATGCACGGAACTGTGATGGGAAGATGCCAGATTGCAGAAGAGTGAACCTCTGGTAGGTCATGCTGACAGTGATATGTTATTTTATTAAGAAAACACTCAACGGCATTGATTCCCCTCCGGATCCTTCTTCTCCTCCCCTTCCGTCGGACTACATTCCTTCATCTAATCCCACGCTTGCTGTGTATTCACCATACCCTCTGACCTTTTGATGAAGAAATAAAGAGTTTACAGATGGATATTGATAGGCTAGGAGAATGGCCAGAATCTAGCAGATGGAGTTTAATGTGGATAAGTGCAAGGGTGTCCAAGTGGCCCAACAAATAAAAGGGCAAATTATTATTTAATTGGGAAGCACATTCAAAGTGCATCAGTGCAGAGGGATCTGGGTGTCCTTGTGTATGAACCACAGAAAGTGGGTATGCAGGTGCAGCATATAATAAGAAAAGCAAATGGAATCCCAGCAATTGCTGCAGAAGGACTAGATTATAAAAGTAAAGAAGTGTTGTTACAATTATATAAGAACACACTTGGAGTATTGTGTCCAGTTTTGGTCTTCTTACGTGAGGAAGGATGTGGTGGCACTGGAGACAGTTCAGAGGAGGTTCACCAAGTTGACTCCAGGGATGAAAGGACTGTCATACAAGGAGTGGTTGAATAGCTGCGGCTTCTTCTCACTGGAGTTCAAAAGAATGAGGGGGGATTTGATTGAGGTATATAAAATGCTAAAGGGGATTGATAAGGTGGATGTTGGATGGATGTTCCTTCTTGTGGGACAGTCTCGAACAATAAGTCATAGATATAGCGTGAGAGGAGGTAGGTTCAAGATTGAGATGGGGAGAAACTACTTCTCTCAGAGGGTTGTGAATCTGTGAAACTCATTGCTCCAGAGTGCAGTGAAGGCAGAATCAATCAACAGATTCAAGAAAAAAATAGAAATGTTTCTGATGAAAAGCGGGAGAAAGGGAACTGTGAAGCAGGCACGAAAGTGGCATTGAGACCAGGATAAGATCAGCCATGTTCATGTTAAATGGTGGAGCAGGCTTGAAGGGCTGAATTGCCTACTCGTACTCCTAATTCCTATGTTCCCCTCTCTGATGCTGAACGAACTGTGCTCAGCAAGGGACATACCCACGTTAATGAATTTCAGGCACAACATGGTGCTGAACTCTTCTTCTGTTGTCTTTGTCTCCGTGCCCATGACCTTGGACAGGAATCCTCTCTCAGCCACACAGACTCTTTCCCCTATCTCCAATGCACCCCCTCCACCTGGACTCCTCTGTCTGGTCTTTTGCAAGCTCTTCGTTTCTTCATTGAGAACTGCTGGTATGACATTGGCCACCTTAATTTCTCTAATCCCTTCACCCACTCTCATCTATCTCCTTCTGAACTTGCTGAACTCCGTTTTCTCAGGTCTTGTTATCAAACCTATCAATAACGGTTGAGTGGTTGTCATCTAACTAGTACCTGGCAGAGTGCCAACTCTCAGACATTTCCTCCTATCTCCCCCTGGATCATGACCCCACATTGATCATTGAACATCGGGCTGTAGTCTCCAGGACTATCACTGACCCCATCTCTTCCAGACATCTCCGCTCCACAGCTCCCAACTCATAGTCCCCCAGCCATGTACAACCCGCTTCTCAAAATCCACAATCAGGACTGCCCAGGCAGGCCCATCATTTCAGCCTGTTCTTACCCCACTGAACTTATTTCTTCATATTTTGACTCTATTTTTACCCTTCCTTGTTAAGTGTCTTTCAACTTTCATTCATGATTCCTCTGATGCTTTATGTTGGTTCTATAACGATGGTTCTAGCCACCTCTTCTTCACCATGGACGTTAAAGGCATTAGCAAAGCCATCCCCCATTAGGATGGTCTGAAGACTCTCCATTTTCTCCCTTGAAAAGAAGCTACTACCATCGTCCTTCACCTGGCTGAGCTTGTTCTCACTTTGAACAACTTTTCCTTTAACTCATCTGATTTTCTGCAAGTCAAAGGTGAATCTCATGGGTACCTGCATGGGTCTCGGATTTGCCCGTCTCTTTGTGTGGTGTTTGGAACCATTCCTTTTTCCAGTTGTACTCAGGCTCCCACTCACAATTCTTTCTCTGATGCATTGATGATGCCTTTGGTGCTGCTTCCTGCTCTTGTCCAGAATTAGAACAATTCATCAGTTTTACTTACAGTTCTGAAGAAAAGGCATAACCAGACTCAAAATGTTAACTCTATTTCTGTCCACAGATGCTGACAGTCCAGCTGAGTTTCTCCTGCATTCTCTGTGTTTATTTCAGATTTCCTTAATCCACAGTATTTTGCTTTTAGTGTTACTTTGTTAAGGCTGACGCTGTCAGAATCTTAGAAGTGAGAAATACCTCTTGCAGTATCCCACAAAGAGAGGACGTTTTTCTTGCTGTAGGAGAGACGGAGCATGGGTTGGCACTGATACCTGGAAAGGTAGTAGCAGCAGCATCTTGGTTGACACCAAGCACCCTTGCGTTGCATTTTGGGTCTGCAGGCACAATTCTCAGCCTGATAACTGGTAGAATGGCATTAACAAGATTGTACAACACCTCAGAAGCGACTAGGGAGAGGTTAGAAGCTACCAAATTTTGTAACCTAAGACAGCCTTCAGAGCAAAAACCTAGGCGTTCATCAAGGTAAAATGCTGACAGTTTGCTGACTGCCTCCTATTGGAGGAACTATTCATCTGCTGCATTGGCTCTCAAAGTTCCAGTATTAACTATTAACTATGTGAAGTTGGTACTAAGCATTAGGGCAGAGTTGGAGACCATTCCCACAAAAACCTGTAATCAAGCACTTTCATACTCCAAAAATTTTGCTTGAGGCTTTCAACTTTCATATCAGTCGCCAGCTCTTCAACTGTCAATGACACCTTTCACCACAGTCTCTAGGAGAAGTAGCGTATTTTCCACCTGCTCAGAACTTCCTCAATTCTTAGATACGGATTTCAGTGCTGGAGCTTTCATTTAGCTTTCAGTTGGTAATCACTTATCCCAGTGGAATGTGTCTGTACTGATACCCAAAACAGGAAAGGCAAACAACTCTGATTCTGTTTAGGCAAAGCCTGAAGCTGGAGAGCTGAAATTTTTCACCAGGAAAGACTTGAGGAGCAGTGGCAACAGTTTTTCCACTGACTCTTCAATTTGACAGCTCAGTGTGGTGAAGCTGGCAAGGAAACCAGTTATATTCATCATCTTATTACTTCATAGGATGTGAACATTGCCGTCAAGGCCAGCATTTATGGCCAGGCTAATTGCTTGAGAGCAGTCTGTGTGTTGTCAGCACACCCACAGTACAGAAGTTCTTGGATTAGCTACAGTGAAGAAACAGTGACATATTTCCTGGTTAGGATGGCGTGTGACTTGGAAGGGAAATTGTAGATTGTGATGTTCTCATACGTGCCTGTTGTCCTTGTCCTGGTGGGTCACAGGTAGAAGTTTTGGTCCAAAAAAACTTGGCAAGATGCAGTAGTACATCTTGTGGATGGTATACACTGCTTTTATTGCGTGTTGGTGGAGTGAGTGAATGTTGCAGGCGGTGGACAAATGTGGGTGGATGCTGCTTCCAGGAAGAATGCTAAGCTCAGCCTTGGATACCAGCAAAGTGGACTTGGAAGGCCCATTTGGTCCTGAAGGCCGCAGGAAGAGACAGCCCGTTAATTCATTTTCATGTATCCATAGCTGGCTAACAGACCCAGAGGGAGTTCCAAACAATTTATAAGTTTCAGATTTACAGTACCTGTCGTATTTTTCATATGTTTCCATCAATGTTTAAGAAACAGTTAAAAATGGAAAGACCTAAAAGAACTAAGCTTGTTTATTTACGTTCAGGAGAAAGAACCTTTCAGTCAACACCACGTTCTGAAATACAAAGCAGTGCCTTGATTAAAAATGGCGGAACTGCGGTCATATGCTCACACAGAGCTGCTGCCAGTCTGCTGGGAGGCAGGGCAGGTCTGCCAGTATCCCGGCATACTCCGAGAAATTCGTCGTGGCCTGTTTGGCAGTAGTTTGAAATTCTCTTGCTCGTGTTTGCTAGAAGTTAACAGTAATTTTGTTTGTACAAGGATGGCAGGAATTTTATTTGAGGATATCTTTGATGTGAAGGATATTGACCCGGAAGGTGTAAAGTTTGACAGAGGTAAGGGATAGAGATGAGCCCTGCTCCCTTTGCTTCCTGTGGTGCTCGAGTTGTCCAAATGAATGGGCTCAGGCAGCTCACCTGCAACATAGGGAAGGGAATAGAGTGATTCAGCTTTCGTCCTACACTTCTAACTAACATTTTTTGCAATCTTCCAGTGCTTCGTTTAATACTAGTATCTAGTTCATTGATTTGCTCCTACGACCAATTCCTGTAATGTTGTACATGTGTTTTCCTGCAATTGTGGAAAGTTGCAAAAGCCCCATTTCGGACGGAGCAAACCCAAACTGCTTCCACAGCAGGCAATAATTCGGATCAAATTTACACCTCCTGTTCTTACCCTTACATTTAATTTTTTATTTAACCTATTTTTCTAATCCAGCTGTTCAGGGATGTTATTACACCGACCGTTTATTCACATTTCTACATTCAGTACTCAGTCTCAACACGCATGTTCCCCCTTCCCCAGGCATGAATGTGGCTGGAATTGAATTCCCACAGCCTCGAAACAAATAAAAAAAAACTATCTTCTTTTGCATTTGGATTCCAATAATATTCCTCATGAAGAATGGTCTTTATTAATTAGATTTGTTTTTACTTACTGTAATTCAGCTTCTGCTATAGAAAATAGACACAGGACATGTACAGTTTCATTAAATTAGTGGAAACAGCTTCGAAAAACCTGCTTCACTCTTTTTAATAATTTTAAATTAATATTGTGTTGCATCAAATATGTGTTCTATCAAGCCAGTATCCAATTTTTAAATCTTTGTATTTCCTCATGGACATTAATGACTTGTTATCGCTTATATACAATGAACATTAGTACCTATTGCTTTATTTACAATATATCTTGTATACTAAAACTTAAATTTGCATTAACCTTTGCTTTTACCAATGCGCTGCTTTAATTAGCTGTGAAGCCATACTCTTACATCTTTCTGCTCTTCCTCAACAATGAAACAACTTCTGTTTGGAATATTACTATGTTTTTTAACCAGAGTGCATCACCTCACGCTTTGTGATTATCTGCCTCAACTCATCTGCATTTAAAATTCTCATTCATAACTTTGTTACCTTAGAATTTGATTACTGAGAAGGCTTCCTATTTGACTTCCCATATTCTGTCCTCTGTAGACTTGAAATCACTTCTGTTGCTTGTGGCCTAACTTGCACAGAATTCTTCTTTCACATCATCCTTGTCCTCGCTGACCTACTTTGTTTGCTGTTTCAGCAATGCCTTGATTTTTAAATTCACATCCTTCTTTTCAGATCCTTGGCCTACCCCTACTGAACACTGTAATTTTAGCCCTTTGTGATGTCTGCATTTCTTCATTTCTGGCCTCTTGAGCTTCCCTGATTTTAATCACTTCGTTTGTTGTTGCGCCTTATGTTCTGCTCTAGAGTTGTCTTACTAAATCTCTCTCAGCCTTCTATCTCTCATTTATCCTTTAGGATGCTTGCAAAACATGACTCTGACCAATCTTTTGATTGTCCAACTTACTGTCTCCTGATGTGGCTTAGTGTTAAATTTTGTTAATGCTGGAATGCTTTCCCATATTAAGAATGTTACCTAAATGCATGTTGTTGTGTTCTACCTGCCAATTTTTAGTACATTCCCCAATTTAATGACATTCCATAATATGTTCCTTTAGTCTGTTAAAAAAAATTCTATTTTTGAATTAATGTGCAAATGTGACACTCTTTTCTCTATTCCTATATCCAGTTCATTGATAAATGCAGTGAAGTTAAGTGAATCCACAGTTGTACCATGAAAAACACCACTACACCTTTCAACCATTCTGGTAAACTTCCCCAACTCCTACTGTTCTCCTCTTGACCAATTTTTTTAATCTTCTCCCCTCATTCAAAGCTCAATTATCTCCTTTAACATTCTTTCATGTGGCATCTTGTCAAATACTTCCTTAAAGTCTTTGTACACTGCACTAAATATACTGCACCTCCATGTATCCTCCCATGCTAAGTAATAATACATAAGGATTTTAAAATATGATGAACAAAATATACTCTTGCCTAAATTTGGCAGTTCTGCTTGAATTAATTTGTTGCACTTTGGGCTGGCTTGTATTTTGTGTATTTTTAATGAGGGAGAATATACTATAGTACAAAAAAATACATTAACTGACAATAAATATGCAATCTTAACAAGATATTACTCTTACAAAAAGAGTGTTTGATTGTGAATGATAGTTCTGATAAACTGATCAGTAAAATCAATATTTAGATACCTTTGGGCATATAATAGAACTTCTGTGTCATTTTTACAGTTTCTCGCTTACACTGTGAAAGCGAATCCTTTAAAATGGACCTGATTCTTGATGTAAATATACAGATTTACCCTGTTGAACTTGGTAAGAATTTCAATTAATACACATTTTTGTAGTTACTGTGTAATAAACTTCAGATTCAGTTACAATCCAGCTGAATCAACGTTGCTATTATGCACGAGTTTGCAAATGTGTATTTGACAATGTGACACCTGTAACACTGTAAAAGTAGCAAGACTGGGCAACTTTCAGTTATACTGTATGGTCTTTTTGCTTCTGCACATGGGCGTTTAAATGCATTTACATCAGGCTGTCATTACAAATAGAATTGTTAATTTTATAAAAAGATTAACAACATGTATTTGTAGTAATCGTGAAGACAATTTTATTTGTGATTACATTGGGATTCACACATCCAGCTGAGCTGTCGTCGGATTTGATAAAATTCAAACAGGTTACTCCAAAATTACCTTGGATAATTCTCTCCTTGGATTTTATGCATTGGGTTCAGTGGTATAATTTGATCATTAAGAGTGGCATGCTTGAATGTAATGAAAGTTTATTATATGAAATCTCATTTTACTTACATTGGTCTTGTGAAAATGATTAGTTTTTTAGAAGTTGAGAACCTCTGCTATAATAATGTAAGGACATTTAAAAATGCTTTGCTTGGCCAAGTGTTTTGATTTTATAACATTTATAGTATCCCTCAGATGTAATTTGACAGTTTGTACTTTTTTGATGTACATACGAGAACTGCATAGACTTAAGTAGAGAATATTAGTAAACTCATTTACACAGTTACACCGTTCTTGAAAGGAAGTAAAATAATTATACACTCGACAAAGGAAATGTGTTTTGAATTTATTCAAGTTTTGGATGGCATATAGAATAGACTACGGAATTTTTCAAGTTCTAAGACCCAATATTTATTACCCCATCGTATTGAAACTTTCTTTCTCTTAATGCTTTTCTTCAGGTGACAAATTTCGTCTTGTGATAGCAAGTACTCTTTATGAAGATGGAACGCCAGATGATGGAGAGTATAATCCCACAGATGACCGGCCATCGAGGTACTTTTAGAATAATAAACCTTACAGTACGTACAGAGGCCATTGTGACCATGCAAGTCCTATGAAACAGCTATCTACTAAGTTCTGCTGTTTTCTCATGGCCTTGCAGTCTTTAGCATTTCCAAGTATTTATTCCCTTTTTGAACATTGCCATTGAATTTTTGTTCATCATTCTTTCCAACAATGTATTCCACATCATTGTCAAGTCAAAAATCACATGACACCAGGTTATAGCCCAACGGGTTTAATTGAACATGCAAGCTTTTCGAGCATTGCCCCTTCCTCAGGTGTAAGGGGCAAGGATCCAAAACCTGTGTGTTCAATTACACCTGTTGGATTATAACCTGGTATCGCGTGATTTTTGACTTTGCCCAACACAGTTCAACAGCGGCACCTCCAGATCCCATCATTGTAACTCACTGAATAGAAACATTTTTGCTATTCTCACCTTTTTGGTGATGATGTTACATCTGTGTTTCCTGGTTACTGAACTATCTGCTATTGTGAATGGCTTATCCTTGTTTGCTGTTTCAAAACCCTTCATGATTTTGAACAGCTTGATTCCCTTGATTCTCATTGTTGCAAAGACAATAATCCCAGACAGTTGTCTATCCAGGCAGCTGAAGGTTCTCATCCATGGTACCATTCTTGTAAATCTCTACAACCTCTCCAAGGTGTTGAATTTCATCCCAGACCTTACAGATGTTTTTAATAAACCTGTTCAGACATGTTGTTACATACCTCTGGAGCATGTCAGAATTGAACCTAGGCCTCTTGGTTCAGAGGTAGGGACACTACCACTGAGCCTCCTAGAGTATAATACCCCAACTTGGGTACCTTACTCCAGCTGAGGCCCATCCAGCAATTTAGAAAGAGTTAATATCATTTCTTTGCCTTGTGTTTTAAACAAATACCAAAAGTTTTGTGAGGTCCAGCTAATAGAGACTTTATTTATAAGTGCATATTTGTGAGGCATTCTTGGAAAACTTCACCAAGGTCTCTTCCTAATGTGACGTCAGGTTGGAAATTTATAGTTTCAAATCTCCCACTTAATTATATTGTTTTACTTCTAGTCAAAGATCACTTGTGAGTGAGGAAATAATCAATGACATTACATATCCTTATCAATAAACAAGGCCACACATGCTTTACAGATTTTTTTTTTTCTGTTTGTAAGCCCCAGGTTGTTTGTTACCCCTGTGAGCCTAACAAGTCCTCCTGTCTGTTTCTTTATTCATCTGAGCTTGTTGACTCAAGTTGTGAAGGTTGTAAGTTTTACAACTAGAAATTCTTAGTTTGATGTCTTGGGACTGGTTACATATCCTATTACGCTGACAGTATTGGCTACATTACCATCATGCTTAGAGAGCATGCTTGTAGCTACATTTGGCTGCTCTAAGGTTATTAGTGCATGTTTAAATATATAATCTTACTTAATTATCTCATTGTCTCACTTCATTTGCTTTTGTACTCTGTGACTCTATTTGTAAAGCTGAGAATCCTGTTTTTTTTATTAACAGTATTAAAAAGTCATACAGCATGGAAAAAACAGGCTCTTTAGCCCAACTCGTCCATGCTGACCAGGTTTCCTAAACTGAACTAGTCTCATTTGCCTGCATTTAGTCCATATTCCTCAACTTTTCCTATCCATGTACCTGCCCAGATGTCCTTTAAATGTGGTAATTGTACCCACCTCTACCATTTCCTCTGGCGGCATGGTGGCTCAGTGGTTAGCACTGCTGCCTCGCAGCGCCAGGGACCCGGGTTCGATTCCACCCTCGGGCGACAGTCTGTGTGGAGTTTGCACATACTCTCCGTGTCTGCGTGGATTTCCTCCGGGTGATCCAGTTTCCTCCCACAGTCCAAATATGTGCAGGCTAGGTGGATTGGCCATGCTAAATTGCCTGTAGTGTTCAGGGATGTGTAGCTTAGATGGGTCATAAGGGGATGGGTCTGGGTGGGAAGCTCCAAGGGTCAGTGTGGACTTGTTGGGCCGAAGAGCCTGTTTCCACACTATAGGGATTCTGTGTCTAAATACGAACCACCCTCTGTGTGAACAAGTTGCCTCTCAGGTCTCTTTTAAATATTTCCCCTCTGAACATAAACCTATCCCCTCTAATTTTGGACTCCCCTACTCTGGGGAAAAAGACCCTGGCTATTCACCTTATCTCTGCCTCTCATGATTTGGTAAACCTCCATAAGGTCACCTGTCAACCTCGTATGGTCCAGGGAAAAAAGTCCCAGCCTAGTCTTATAATTCAAACTTTCCAACCTCGGTAACACCCTTGTAAATCTTTTTTGTACCCTTTCCATTTCAATAACATACTCCCTATAGCAAGGCAACTACCTACAAAGATTTCTGTATGCAAACTCTGTATATTTTTATTTCTGTACCCCCTTTAAAATTGCACAACGTTGAACCAGATCGGTCAATGGGAAGAAGGTGCTGGAGAACAGGTATCTAAGATTATTGTGATAAACATGGATTGTATCTGGTTCATTTTTGCCTACAATGCTGCAAAAGCTGTTTTGATCAGTTGATTGCTAAACCTTATCAATGCGCTAAACCTTATAAATGCTACTTACTCTGAATGATCAATTATGATTTCTATCATAAAATAATAGAATTTTGGATGTACTTAACTCACAATCATCTGGGTCTAATAAAGAGAGTAGATTCAGTTTCTGGGGATTTATTGTGTCATATTACTGAATTTTATTTATTTTCTATTTTCTAACAGGGCTGACCAATTTGAGTATGTGATGTATGGAAAGGTTTATAGAATAGAAGGTGATGAGAGTTCGACTGAAGCAGCCACCAGACTGTAAGTATCGAATGATGGGAACCAGAATAGAAACATAATATATAGGAGCAGAAGTAGGCCCACGAAGCCTGTTCTCCCATTCAGTATGATTATGGCTGATCATTGAACACGGTACCCAGTTTTCACTTTCTTCCCATATTCTTTGATCCCTTTAGTCCTAACAATTATATTTATATCTATCTTCAGTGTTTTGGCCTCAACAGTTTATGGTGGCAGAGCATTTTACAGGCTCACCACTCCCTTGGTGAAAAAAAGGTCAAAGAACAAAGAAAATTACAGCACAGGAACAGGCCCTTCGGCCCTCCGAGCCTGCCTATTTTCCAAGGATCTGTATCCCTCTGCTCCCTGCTCATTCATGTATCTGTCTAGATACATCTTAAATGACGCTATCACGCCCACCACTACCACCTCCGCTGGCAACGCGTTCCAGGCACCCACCACCCCCTGCGTAAAAAACTTTCCACACATATCTCCCTTAAACTTTTCTCCTCTCACCTTGAAATCGTGACCCCTAGTAATTGAGTCCCCCACTCTGGGAAAAAGCTTCTTGCTATCCACACTGTCTATACCTCTCATGATTTTGTAGACCTCAATCAGGTCCCCTCTCAACCTCCATCTTTCTAATGTAAATAATCCTAATCTACTCAACCTCTCTTCATAGCTAGCGCCCTCCATACCAGGCAACATCCTGGTGAACCACCTCTGCACCCTCTCCAAAGCATCCACATCCTTTTGGTAATGTGGCGACCAGAACTGTACGCAGTATTCCAAATGTGGTCGAACCAAAGTCCTATACAACTGTAACATGACCTGCCAACTCTTGTACTCAATACCCCGTCCGATGAATGAAAGCATGCTGTATGCCTTCTTGACCACTCTATCAACCTGTGTTGCCACCTTCAGGGTACAATGGACCTGAACACCCAGATCTGTCTGTGCATCAATTTTCCTCAGGGCTTTTCCATTTACCATATAGTTCGCTCTTGAATTGGATCTTCCAAAATGCATCACCTTGCATTTGCCTGGATTGAACTCCATCTGCCATTTCTCCACCCAACTCTCCAATCTATCTATATTCTGCTGCATTCTCCGACAGTCTCCTTCACTATCTGCTACTCCACCAATCTTAGTATCATCTGCAAACTTGCTAATCAGACCATCTATATCTTCCTCCAGATCATTTATGAATATCAAAAACAATAGTGGTCCCAACACGGATCCCTGTGGAACACCACTGGTCACAGTTCTCCATTTTGAGAAACTCCCTTCCACTACAACTCTCTGTCTCCTGTTGCCCAGCCAGTTCTCTATCCATCTAGCTAGTACACCCTGGACCCCATGCGACTTCACTATCTCCATCAGCCTACCATGGGGAACCTTATCAAACGCCTTACTGAAGTCCATGTATATGACATCTACAGCCCTTCCCTCATCTATCAACTTTGTCACTTCCTCAAAGAATTCTATCAAGTTGGTAAGATATGACCTTCTCTGCACAAAACCATGCTGCCTATCACTAATAAGCCCATTTTCTTCCAAATGTAAATGGATCATATCCCTCAGTATCTTCTCCAGCAGTTTCCCCACCACTGACGTCAGGATCACCGGTCTATAATTACCTGGATTATCCTTGCTACCCTTCTTAAACAAGGGGACAACATTAGCAATTCTCCAGTCCTTCGGGACCTCACCCGTGCTCAAGGATGCTGCAAAGATATCTGTTAAGGCCCCAGCTATTTCCTCTCTCGCTTCCCTCAGTAACCTGGGATAAATCCCATCCGGACCTGGGGACGTGTCCACCCTAATGCCTTTTAGAATACCCAACACTCCCCCCCCCCCCCCCCACCTTATGCCGACTTGACTTAGAGTAATCAAACATCTATCCCTAACCTCAACATCCGTCATGTCCCTCTCTTCAGTGAATACGGACGCAAAGTACTCATTAAGAATCTCACTCATTTTCTCTGACACCTCGCATAACTTCCCTCCTTTGTCCTTGAGTGGGCCAACCCTTTCTCTAGTTACCCTCTTGTTCCTTATGTATGAATAAAAGGCTTTGGGATTTTCCTTAACCCCGTTTGCTAAATTTCATGACCCCTTTTAGCCCTCTTAATTCCTCGTTTCAGATTGGTCCTACTTTCCCGATATTCTTCCAAAGCTTCGTCTGTTTTCAGTCGCCTAGACCTTATGTATGCTTTCTTTTTCCTCTTTGCTAGTCTCACAATTTCACCTGTCACCCATGGTTCCCTAATCTTGCCCTTTCTATCCCTCATTTTCACAGGGACATGTCTGTCCTGCACTCTGATCAACCTCTCTTTAAAAGCATCCCACATATCAAATGTGGATTTACCCTCAAACAGCTGCTCCCAATCCACTTTCCCCAGCTCCTGTTGAATTTTGCTATAGTTGGCCTTCCCCCAGTTCAGCACTCTTCCTTTAGGACCACTCTCGTCTTTGTCCATCAGTATTCTAAAACTTACGGAATTGTGATCACTATTCCCAAAGTAATCCCCTACTGAAACTTCAACCACGTGGCCGGGCTCATTCCCCAACACCAGGTCCAGTATGACCCCTTCCCGAGTTGGACTATTTACATACTGCTCTAGAAGACCCTCCTGGAAGCTCCTTACAAATTCTGCTCTATCTACACCCCTAACAGTAAGTGAATCCCAGTCAATGTTGGGAAAATTAAAATCTCCCATCACCACCACCCTGTTGCTCCTACATCTTTTCATAATCTGTCTACATATTTGTACCTTTATCTCATGCTCGCTGTTGGGAGGCCTGTAGTACAGCCCCAGGTCCTCCTCAGCTATGTCCTAAAAGGCCTACCCCTTATCCTTAGACCGTGACCTCTGGTTCTGGACTCCCCAGTCAGACACTGCATCCTTCCTCTGTCTACCCTGTGTACTCTTGTTGGAATTTCATAGGTTTCTATGAAATCCCCTCTCTCCCTGTGTGTTAGTCCTGCCATCCCAGGAATCAGTTAAGTAAACCTTCCTTGGAGTCCCTCAATAACCAGAATATTCTTCCTCAGATAAGGAGACCAAAACTGAACACCGTGTAGGTGATTTTATGTTTTATGTAAGTTTTATGTTTATTAACTGGTAAGTTGTATTACCTAAAAATAGATGTTGCACGTGGTCATGGAGATAATTTGGTAAAATCCTTTGATGCAATTATCATCCAAAATGTGGATTAGTATCAGGACAGAATGTAATTTCTAAAATTAGTCATTGTGTATTGCTGTTTGGATCAAATCTTTTCATTCCTTAATCTTCGTTTGCTGATGAGAAAGAAATCTGGGGTAAGTGATTACTACTAGAAAAGTGAGATTTTTAAAGACAAATGTACTCTCAATCAACCACTTTACTGCGAAAGTAGTTGATTTGTGATAAATAGGAAGATGTTAGAATAAACTTTGGAAATTGACACTTTATCCATATATTACATTACATTACCCATACATTGAGCAGCATGTTGGCTCAGTGGTTAGCACTGCTGCCTCACAACGCCAGGGACCCGGGTTCGATTCCACCCTCGGGCGACTGTCTGTGTGGAGTTAGCACATTCTCCCTGTGTCTGTGTGGATTTCCTCCGGGTGCTCTGGTTTCCTCCCACAGTCCAAAGTGTGCAGGCTAGGTGGATCAGCCATGCTAAATTGCCTGTAGTGTTCAGGCAATAGATTAGGTGGGTTACAGGGGGATGGGTCTGGGTGGGATGCTCTGAGGGTCAGTGTGGACTTATTGAGTTGAAGGGCCTGTTTCCACACTGTAGGGATTCTGTGATTACTGGCCAACCTAATAATTCTTATCCGTTGCAAGTTATTGGGAAGATGGTGGTGGCCTCCTGGAATTGCTGCAGTTCATGTATACCCTATTACTGTTGGATAAGGAATTTGAGGATCTTAGGTGCAGTGATGGTACAGCCCAAGTCTATAGAAGGTGATGCTGTAGTGATATTGTCACGACTAGTGATCCCAAGATCCAAATAGTGTTTTGGGTACTAGGGTTCAAATCCCACCACAACAGATTGTGGAATTTGAATTCAATAAAATCTGGAATTAGAAGTTGAACAATGGTCAAAAAATCATTGCCAATTACTATTAAAAACTCGTCTGGTTTACTAATGTCTTTTGTGTCCTTAGCTGTTCTGGCGTATGTGTGACTATAGACCCACAGGAATGTGGCTGACTCTTAATTGGCTAAGTCTCAAAATGCCATTCATACAAGTCATTCAATTATGTCAACTGCTTTAAAAAAAGGTCCTAAAAAAGGACCTATCAACCCTGCAAAATCCTCCTTATTAATATCTGGGGGTAAGTGATTAATTGGGAGAGCTGTCTTACGTACGAGTCAAGCAGAAGCCTAATATAGTCATACTCATGGAATCATAACTTACCCACAATGTCCCAGACAATACCTTTATGGGTGCAGACCTTTATGGGTATATCCTGTCCCAATAGCAGGACACACTCAGCAGAGATAACAGTACAGTGAGATACAGTTGGCTGTGCCTTTTTCCTGGGAGTCCTCAACATTATGTCCACACCCCATGAAACGTGAAGGCATGGTTAAACATGGGCAAGGAAGCTTACTGCAGATTACAACATACTCGAGGGATGCAAGTTGAACACCACTTCGATGAAGCACTAAGAGTGGTAAGGGCACAGTATGTACGTTGGCGGTATGGGGGTGTACTTTAATGTTTATCGGGTTGGAGTCCAACTTAAGCAAAGAAAGGTGGTTGTGGTTATTGGAGGTTAGTTGTCTTAGGTCGAGGATATCTCTGCAAGAGTTGCTCAGCCCAACCATGTTCAGCTGCTTCATCAGTGACCTTTCCTCAATCATAAGATCAGAAGTGGGAATGTTTGCTAATAATTGCACAGTGTTCAGCACCATTCGCAACTCCTTGGATGCTGAAGCAATCCATGTTCAAAAGCAGCAAGACTTGGACAATATCCAGCTTTGGGTTGACAAGTGGCAAGTAACATTACTTTTGCCATAAAAGTGCTCGACAATGACTATCTTTAGTAAGAGAATATCTAACCATTATTCCTTCATGTTCAGTGGCATTATTCTATTGCTGAATTCCCCCAGTATCAGCGTCCTGGTGGTTACTGTCAACCAGAAACTGAAGTGGACTAGTGATATAAATCCTGTGGCTTTAATAGCAGGTCAGAAATGAGGTATCTTGCAGCAAGTAACTCGCTTCCTGACTCACTAAAGCTTGTCCACCATGTACAAGGCACAAGCCAGACATGGGATAAGATGTGCTCACCACCTGACTGGATGAATGCAACTCCAACAACATTCAAGCTTGACACTATCCAAGACAAAGGAGCTTGATTGATTGGCGTTATGTCCATGAGCACTCCACCACCGATGCCCAATAGCAACCGTGAGAACCATATACAAGATGCACTGCAGCAACTGACTGAGACTTCTTACGCAGCACCATCTAAACCCACAACCACTGCCATCTAGAAGGACAAGGGCAGCAGATATGTGGGAATGCCACCACCTGCAAATTTCTCTTCAAACCACTCAACATGCAATTTGAAATATATTGCTGCCCCTTCAGCGTTGCTACTTAAAATCCCTCCCCAATTGTAATGTAGATGTACCCACACCAAATGGCCTGCAGCAGTTCGCAAAGTTAGCTCAATGCTACCTTCTTCTCAAAAGCAACTAAGGACGGGAAATAAATGCTGGCCAATCATGCAATGCCCACATTGTGTGATTTTTTTATTATTAAAGATAGCAGCGAACTCAGAGGCAATTGTTTGCCATTCATTTGCTGTCTTTCCCCTTCTAGATTTGGGTGTTGCATATTTTGCAGTTGTTGCTGATGAAGCCTTAATGAGTTCAGTGGTGCATCTTATGAATAGGACATGCTACAGTCACAGTACTCTGGTATGAAGATGGTGGTCATTTTGGCCATTAGATAAAAGTGCTAATCAACTGGCGATGGGTTCAATAAGATGTTTGCTTAAAATATTCCAATATTGGTACGTCAGCTTGGTGGTAAAAAAAATCCTGTTTGCTTTGAGACTGTTTGTTTTATTTAAAATTTTCGTGAAAATGTTGCAGAAATACTCATTGTGGATTTTCCCTCTTTTCAGATCAGCCTATGTATCATATGGAGGACTACTGATGAGGCTTCAAGGTGATGCAAATAACTTACATGGCTTTGAAGTAGATTCCAGAGTGTACCTGTTAATGAAGAAACTTGCTTTTTAAGATATATGGACAATAATGATGGCAATTCCAATGCTTTATCATTTGGAATCAAGTTTGTTTGTTGCTATATAATCAACAAGCATTTATTGCTCTACATTTCTAGTTTCCCCTGTTTTAAAGGAGATTATGTAAGAAAGTACCTAGCAAAGGAAAACCTTACCTCACTATATGGAACAAAAGAATATTTTATAAGCTTGCTATTAAATGAAGAAGTATCTATAGTACAAAATGGATGTAATGGTGATTGAATTTTTCATTGCAAATAAAAATGTGCTTGTGTTCAATGGTAAAGGCTTATTTTTATGCATTAGTATACCATAACCAATATTATAACCGGTTTTATTTTTCAACAAATTTGATTTGAGAAAAGGGATCAGTTGATTTAAATCAACTGTGGGGAGACAATGGACAAACTAGAATTTCTTAAGAATGCAAGGGGCAAACTGAAGACCCTGGTATTTGGTCATTTGAGCAGCAGAAATATAAGTGGGATTTTCACTGTGGGCTTTAGGACCATGCAGTAGCTTCAGCTGTGGGCTAGAAGCCACACTGCATGAGAAACAGTTATAGAAATTGTTCACTAGATTGCTTTTTGGATGTTAGAGGTTGTACTCTGAGAAAAGTTGTCTTAAAGGAGGAGTAAGGTAGGGAGGCAGAGTTTTGGGCATATGCAACTGAAAATACAATCACCAATGCTAAAGTGATCGTAACAGGGCACACTCAAGATACCAGAATTAGAGGAGTGCAGATGTCTTGGAGGAGATTCCATAGATGCAGAGAGGTGAGGCCATGAACGGGTTTAATACAAGAGCATTTTAAAAGCAAGGTAATGTTTGACAGGAAGCCAGTGTAACTCCGTGCGTGCCAAAAACAGAAATTGCTGGAGTAGCTCAGCAGGTATGGGAGCAGCTGTGGAGAGAAATCAGAGTTAATGTTTTGGGTTGAGTGACCATTCCTCAGAATGTTCTGTTTCTGTTTCTGATTTACAGCATCTGCAGTTCTTTTGGTTTTTAATTCAGGGAGTGCACTTGTCTGATAAGTGAGTCAGCATTAATGTGAGTTAGGACTGTGAAGCAATATTTTGAATGACCTGAATTATTTGGAAGGGAGAATGTTGAAGAGCATCCAGGAGTGTTTTGGCATAGTCAACCCTAGAGGTAACAAAAGTATGAACAATGATTTCAACAACACATAAACTACGAACAAGAGTAGGTCACTTGGCCCTACGGGTCTGCTCCAACATTCAATAACATGAGGCTGCTTTGATTTTAACCTCAATTCTGCATTCTGTAAATTCCTGATAATCTTTCATCCCCTGCGTGATTCTGCAAGCATCGCTATTCGATGAAGGGAATTCCAAAGATTGGTCAGTAATAAAATAGGAAGGTCGCAAGGTGGAGTTTTAATGTCCGCATCAGAAAAATAGTTACTGGTGAGGGATTCAAGGCAAAGCAAGCAGTGACCGCAAGTACCCGAGTGGAGTGGCTGGGTTTTGCAGCGGCCAGGTGAGAGTGGGCCGGCCAGGAGGTGCTGGGCGGTGCAGCATGGGAAAGGGGTCTGCAAGAATGGGGTACAGGTAGGAATGGGCGGGGTGCAGGTGGTGGGTGGAGACAGGGATTGATGGGTGGGGCCCTTAGTGGGGCAGGATGGGAAAGGGGTCTGTAAGAACGGCGTATAGGTAGGTATGGGCGGGGCGAATTTGGTGGGCGGGGCCTCAGCCGGGCACAGCTGTCTGAACGGTTGGTCGTCTGCTCGTGAGGCGAGGGGTCAGCGTCTCGCGGCCCACGTCGAGCCGTCAACTGGAGGCTGGTGCGGTTTATCCGTCCCGCTAAGAGAAGAGGGAGAATCTGCTGTGTACCACATTGTTCCCCCCGGAGTGGCTGGTAGCAGTAGAAGCAGCTAAAGCAACAAGAGCTGGCAATGGATCAGCGGACCAAGCGCAGGCTCACCAACATCACCATCGGTCTTCTCTTCCTTGTTAGCGGCATCGAGTACGGTAAGCGAGGAACAGATCCAGTCTCTCCATCCCGGCCTGCTACCGTCACATTCTTTCACAGAGGAGAGTTATTATGAATAAACACGAATGTCTGAGAAAGCTCTGAGAGGTCCCTTCTGTTTTCCAGTATGCTCCGATGTTGTTTACATTAGGTTTGTAACCTTACCTGGGTTAGAGGATAAAGTGAGATCCCACTCTGTAGATAATGTTTCCTCATTCAGATACTTCGTTTGTAATGCCATCCCATGGGTCCAGTAGCTGTGGTGTGACCACCGAGGACGAATGTATATTTTATTTTCACCGTTTACTAAAATGGACATTAATAGTTTCTTTTGGGGAGGGTGGAGGCTGACAAAAGTGGGAATTTAGAGCCTCCCACATCTTAGTGGACTGGAATACCAATCTGGTCTCTTAATTGCCTTGGCCACCTATTTGCCAATTTATCTTTCAGTGAAGACATTTGGATGAGCTATCAAGCATGAAAACACAAGTAAACTATGATGGCAGATGGGTCGAAATTGAATTTTTTAATCTATTGTAACATGCTAATAACTATATTCTTAAAAAAAGTGCTGTAAAAGCTCAGCACATCTGATAACAAGAAGCAGCGTTAATATTTCAATTCCAATCTGACTTCTTTGGAACATGGTATCATATCCTATTGTTAAACTTTAGAGACCCCTCTGTTCAGTAGTTAGATAGTGCAACTGTCATTTGAATCTCTTGTGGAAATATGAACAGCAAGTACAATGGTGCAACTGATTACACTTCCAGAAAGGGAAAAATTATTTAAAAACAAAAGTACTGGGAGACTTGTTTACTCTTAATAATTGCCTTTGGGGAATGAGTGTTTCTAGGGAAAAGAGCTTTTACTATTCTCAATGAGCTAGACCACATAATTAATATTAAGAATCTGAACTGTGCAGGCAGATCATACATCATCTATCATTGAGTCAGAGAGAGGCTACAGGAGGGAGATGAACATGAAACTGTTGAAATAAAAACAGAAAATGCTGCAGAAATTTGGTAGGCCTGGCAGCGTCTGTGGGGAGAAACGGTTTCAAGTCCAGGAAGAAAAGTTATATTGGACTTGGTTTGTTAACTTTTACTGTCTCTTCACAGATCCTGCCAAATCTGCTGATTTTCTCCAAGACATTATGTTTTTATTTCTGATTTCCAGCATCTGTAGTACTTTGCTTTAATTTGAGTATGATATTGTTGAAACTCACTGCAGATCTATGAGCACAATCAAGAGGGTGGCTTTAATCAGGTGCTGCCAATGATATGTAACATACATTAAATGGCATCAGTTAAATAGCATTATTGCATTGAGCATGAACATAATTTTCTAATTCAAAACAAGAATGTAGAATTGGATTAAATTGTCTGATTTTTCCCAGGCTACCTACAGTGGGATTCCAGACCCCAAGCATCAATAGCTAAACACCGCTCCCTCTTCTTACACAACGAGGTCTTACCCTGCCCCTCCCACAGCTTACTGACGGGTTGCAACCATTTTCAAACCTTGGAATGGAGTCACAGCGGGGAAATATATTAGGAGGCACTTATTCAGACATTCTCCAGATTTCAAATCCATCCCAAATGGTGAACCCCTTATGAAATATATTAATTTCATTCAGTAAAAATATTTCAAATTTAATACTTATTTATAAAATGTAAAGGAATATATTGAGATTTGTATGTATTTTATTTTGCATTTAAAAATGCTCTGGATGATCCATTTGGACTAACAGTTACAGGTATCTCTTGTATAATGTAGATTCTTGGTAATGGTATATCTTGTCACTTCTGAGGAAAGGTGACCTTGTCATAAAGTCATAGAGCATGGAAACAGATCCTTTCGTCCAACCAGTCCATGCTGACCATAATCCCAAACTAAACTAGTCCCACTTGCCTGCTCTTGGCCCATATCTCTTCAAACATTTCTTATTCATGTACTTAATCTAAATGTTTTCTAAACGCTGTAACTCTACCCGCGTCCTCCACTCCCTCTGGAAATTCATTCCACACATGAACCACTCTGTTTTTTAAAAAAAAAAAAGTTGCCCCTCATGTCTTTTTCAAAACTTACTCCTATCACCTTAAAAATATGCCCCCTAGTCTTGAAATCTTCCACCCTAGGGAAAAAGACACCTGCCATTTAACTCATCTATACCCCTTACGATTTTATAAACCTCTATTAGGTCACCCCTTAACCACCTCCGCTCCAGTGAAAGATGTCCCAACCTATCCAGCCTCTCCCTATAACTCAAACCCTCTGTTTATGGCAACATCCTGGTAAATCTTGTTGAACCTTCTCCAGCTTAATAATATCCTTCTTAAAACAAGGCAACCAGAACTGGAAACAGTACTCCAGAAGAGGCCTAACCAACATCCTATGAAACCTCAACCTAATGTCCCAACTCCTATACTCAAAAGTCTGAGCAAGAAGGCAACTGTGTTAAACGCCGTATTAACCATCTATATGTAATGCAGACTGAGCCCCAAGACCTTTCTGTTCTCTAACACTACCTAAGGCACTACTTTTAATTGTGTAAGGACTGCCTTTGTTTTACCAAAATGCAATACCTCGCATTTATCCAAATTGAACTTCATCTGCCACTGTTCAGCCCATTGATCCAATTGATCAAGATCTCTTTATAATCTTAGATAACCTTCTTCACAATCCACTATACCAACAATCTTGGTGTCATCTGCAAACTTACTAACCACGTCTTCTATATACTCATCTAAATCATTTCTGTAAATAACAAACAAAAATGGACCCAGCACTGAACCCTGTGCAATGCTGTTGGTCACAGGCCTCCAATCTGAAGAACAGCACTCCACCATCACTCTCTGTCTCCCATCATTAAGCCAATTTTGTATCATCTATCAATTGTCCTATAGGAGGGATGAATTGAAATGACTAGACAAGAAGTAATATTCCTTAGCAGCAAACTAATAAAAATGTAGAAAATTTACAGTTCAGAAGACCATTTGGTACATTGGACTGAATCTTACCAGAAATTGGCCAAATGTAATTTTTGTGAGTTTAATGGAGGATTTCTCTTTGAGTGGCTTATTGCGTATTCTTGTGCTATCATCAAACTCACCTAATGATCTATGAACTATGCCGGTATGGTGATCTTTTTCATGTAATCTCCTACTTGGAGGATGTACTTGCCTCTGTTGGGATATCCTAAAATCCCTAGCACTGGTCCTATGTTTGAAACCCAGCTGTGCACCTGGTCAATCAATGACAGTCTGGAATTGCCTTTTACAGGGCACATGATCAGAGAGCAACCTCAAACTGATGCTTCTCTGGGCACAGAGGTGGCGTGGCTGACATGTTATTGCACATACCAGTCCAAAGTCTCACACCTATCGCTGTTTAGAATCTGAGCCATGCAGCTCACTTGTCCTCTTACCGAACGTCCAGTGTGGTACAAATTCTTCTTGTCGTTCAACTTGGGTGTATTACATCCAGGTCCCTGAAATGTGATCCAGTGATACCCATGACTTGCTGTATCTTAGCCTCCTGACTGACAGCAGTCACCCCGCTTTGACTGAGAACTACTCCCCTGAGACTTGGAGACATAATCATTTGGTTGATGCATATGCACTGTCTTTGCGGTGTAGGCTGTTGGCACATGTTGTAGGTGTGTGATTGACAAAGCTTGGTGCCATACTGCAACAAGTCCACCTTCCTGACCGCTTCAGACAGCCATGACAAGTTTCCTGGCTTAGTATGTGCCCTAAACTCCAAGACAAGACAAAATAATTCCACAAGTGCATGACCTCAGTTATGACATGCTGCAGCTGTTCGTAGACTGCAAGGGTCTCCCAGTCTCAAAATGCTGCCTGTCTTTTACCAGGACCAGATCAGTTTATGGGACACGGCTGTGTGGCAGCTATCATTAGAAAGCCTATGCTCAGGAATCCACACCTCCACCATCACGGGTTTGAGTGGCTGGCAGAGGGGAGGACTGTGGCCATGGGGGTGACCAGAGGCAGGGGCTTGTTTTCCATTAGGGACCTGAGATCAAGGGTATTGCACGTAGCTCCTGATAACTGCAGATTGCGGCAGTTCACGGACACCCAGCCCAGTTGTTTACTTTGCAGCACTGTGGAGTACATGGACCATGTGTATATTAGTTGCAGGAGATTGCACCCCTTTTTTAGTTATTTGAAAAATCTTTTGTGTACTTTTTGTTGCATTTCAGCCCTACGCTTCTGATCTTTGGGCAATTAATGTGGAAGGGTGGGAACAGGTTGGAAGTTCTACTTGTGGTCTGCTCCTGGGCATGGCAAGGCTGGCTATTAACAGGTCCAGGCAACGGGCTGTGGAGGGGGTCGTAGCTGCCATGTGTCTGCCCCTCTTCCTATTTCATACCCGAGTGCCCTTGGATACGGAGCACAGGGTGTGATTAAGTGCTCTCGATGCCTTCAGAGAGAAGTGGACACCACGGTGATACAGTGCTTTATCTCCCGCTCCAACTCCATTTTGATTTAGCTCCTTCCCTCTCTCCTTACCTCTCCCTCACTTTTAATGGTTTGCATTGTCCATAATGGCCTTTGCTTGTAAGTACTTGAGCGGCTGCATGGGTGATTACTGGTGGTAGTTAAAAGAAAAATTGAGAAAAGAAATCATGGTGATTTTGGTTATGGGAAAGTTGCTCGGTTTGCATAATAACACTTCAGAGTATAAGAAAAAAGGATGCTGTCTTACTGGTGGTAGTTAAAAGGGAAAAAAGACAAGACAGAAACACTATGAACATTTAATCTCTGGCTGAGGTGGCATTCTGCTAAACTGCAAGGCAGTGATCCTGTGAACATCCAAGAAGGCACAAAGTGAGTGAATGCTAAGAGAGCAAGCATGCAACACTGTGAAGCACCGTGGTCTAATCCATGAGAGGACACACATGGCATCATGGCAGTAAAAGTATCAGTGGACTTTGAAGTGCAAACCTGTAATGTGAGAGGGTTGGAGATTTGCC